AAAGAATAGTTCACGATCAAAGAATCATCAGCTCCAGTATCCACCAAGGCGGATTGTGTTGTCATTAATAAGCCGTTATGAGCTATGGTACATGAAACTAAGAACGAGATGTTGCTCCCTCCCAAGCACTGCTTCAAATCGAAACTCGTGGGTTGGATGGCTGACAAATCGCACTCGGTCGATACTTCTCCTAGGTACGAGACTTCACCTGGGGATCTTAGTTTCCCTGGTCGGGATTGGGGTTAACCAGCTCCTCAACAGGGTTGTGGGGGTCCTCCTCCGCTGACTCTTCGACCTCGGTTACCGAATCTCCCCAGGTCTGGTTGGCAATCTCCGCAATGCTAGCGTCCAGAGCACGGTCGTGCTTGTTCTTCTCGGGGCAAGCCGTGGACAGATGGCCCGGCTTCTTGCAAGCGAAGCAAAGTCCTAGACGATGCAGGCGTTTCAACTCGTCGTCGGAGGGTCGCTTGGCGTAAGATCCACCTGAAGGGCTATTTCTGGGCTTGGTGTAATCAGAGTTAGTCTTCCTGGCCTCCAGATTCACGGCTTTGGCCATGGCACGACGGGACGTGTTGGATGTCGAGGTTGACGAATTATCCTTGGTGCCCATGCCAAACTTTCAACCGTTTGAATTATCATTCATGCGCTTGCCTTCATCCAGGGACTGGAGAAGCTTGCAATATTGTTTGAAGCTGGATTCGGACAAGTAGGTAGTCTCGAACAGACTACGCAGATAAGGGGTGAGACGACGCCGCATCTCAGGCTTCCACTGTTCCTTGGGGCAACGACGTTGGCCGGCCAGGCGGACGAACTTGACTTTGAAGTCCTCGAATGTCTCACTCGTCTTCATGTAAAACCTCTGGAATTCTTGGACGGCCTTCTCATGGGCATTGTGGTTGTGGTATGCTTCCCACAGATGCTCAAGTAGTTGCTTGCTGATACGCAGACGCTCGGGATGGGTCTTGTCCAGGAAAGGCAGGACATTGTCAGCCACACTGCCACCCAGACGGTTGAAGACTTCGGCGAACTTAGCCTTATTGTCATCATAATGATCCGTATTAACACGTAGTTTGTTCTCCATCTGGTGGTACTATACGTCGAACGTGACCTTGTCTTCCGAAGGGTCGTCGAAGAAGCGGGGTACGTCTACCTTGGCCGACTTCCTGCCTGACAGAGTAGAGGGCGCCTGGGAGATGGGGGTACTGTTGTAACCTCGAGCGCGGAATTTGGGATCGCGATATTTGGGGGTCTTGCCGCGCTTGTCGCCTCACTTATCGTCTTCATCAGAATCGGAGGCATCATCGGAAGAAGGAGGGTTGCCGCCTCCAGCAACGAAACGCGTATTCTTGGAATAGTCGCCGCTGGCAGAGCGAGCACGGCTGTTGTGCCGGTGGCCTTCGCCACGCTGCTCACGTCGACGGCCCTCGCTACCTTGGTCTCCCTCGTCCTCAATGGTGTCGAGAATCTCTTCGTCGTCTTCATCGCCATGGAAGTGTGTAGCAGGAGAGACGGTTGTCTTGCGACGAGGCCACTTCTTCGATTGAAGCAAAGCGAGTTCAGCTTGCACGTCGGCCAACTCGGCCTCGAGCTCGCCTTGGCGTAAAATTGCCATTCCCATAGAAGCATAGGATTTCTGGGCTTCACTCTCACATTCCTCGACCTTGCGAAGGAGGTCATCCTTCATGCGTTTGTACTTCTGGCTCCATTGGTCCTCCTTCGGTTGGACCAGGTTGGCGGCAGCGTCACGGACGGCCTCACGGAACGCATCGTCAGATTGGTTTCTTCCCCTCTCCCGCGTTTGTGTAGCGATGTCGGGTCTCGCACATCTGAGATGGTCATTGTCCTTGCGTGCATTGTCCAACTGCACTTGCAATTCGGCAGTCCTTTGGCTCATGTAGACGACCCACTTGTTGGCCGTCTTGAGGTTGGTTTCCACACTGCGGGCCAAATTAGGGAGGTGAGGTCTAAATGCCGACGAAGGCTTCCAGCATCAAAAATCTGGAGCGTAAATCAATCCACATAGTGACGGGGTCTTTGTCCCACATTCGCTTGAAGGTGTACATATCTATAGACCCTTTGTAAGACTTGAATTGGGAGGCCTTGCCTGTGGTGGTGATGGGTTCAAAATGAATAGTGCCATCCTTCTGGCGCTCGACGGTATCGCTTAGCTGGGATTTTTTGATCATTACGTCAGTCCAGATGTTTTCCAAGACTTCAGCAAAGACCGGCTCGGACACTTTGGGGTGGATGTCCCTTATGTACATTCCCTTGAGCTCATTGATGGTTATTGGATGCTCCGGCAGGCCCTCGATGTCATCATCCCCATGCCTACGGAGGGTGGCAGTCCTGGCGTACTTGTCATCAGGCGAGGGCATTGAGGAGGCGGCCGCCATGGCTTTCAGCGAGACGCAACGGGCTTTAGTCTTGTCATTCTGGTCGTGGCGCCGATGTAAAATCGACTGGACATTGTCGACAAAGTGAAGGTTGCGGAAGCAGGCGCCGGGAGACTGGTAGGCTTGCTTCTGTTTTCCCTTGTCAATCTTGGAAGGCTTGGGAGTTTGATGACGAGACTCGGGGGTGGGCGAGTCATGGCTATCCTTTTCTCTGTCGCCGGCCTCGTCGTCAGGGTCTTCGTAAAAGGACTCATCTTGGACCTCCTCCTCAGTGGGGTTGTCGCCCGGTTTGTCGTTTTCGTTCTTGGATGACAGTTTCGCCATTGTTGAGGGCTGCGTTGTCTGACGCGTAAGTTAAGGGGGTTTGAAGGAGTAGATCGAGTCGCACGCGGATTATCGTCGCGGGGTTACCGAGTTGTTCTCGAGATCGGGGTATTCACGGTCTTGCCACACCACGGAGTTGCACACACGATGGGGTTGTTCGTTATGGACAGGGTAGGATGTTTTACAACGTCCCCGTTGTTAGTTGGCTTTATTGAAGTGTGACAACACGATTCTGGACATAGGCAGGCCTGGGTGTGACGAACGGCAGTCTGATCTGCCTAAGTGGGATAGCTGAAGGTAGATAACTATCAGTGTTGTTCGGTGAAGCCAAAAGGTTTACAACAAGTATGTTCGTAATACTGGTCTTGGTGATAATGATCTATTGACTACTGTCGAACTATCTGACAATCTGAGTTCTCCAGTCGTCTTTTTATACCTCCTCGCCCTTTGTGAGATATCTGTCCCCGGCTGCTCTACTGAGCCCCGTGGTTCTATCTACTGGATGGTGTGTGGCCGCTCACTGGCTAGGTCGTGCTCACCGTGAGCGCCGCCCTTTAGTGAGCACTCTGCATGCGTTCTCTGGCCCAATCCTTGTCTGAGGTTACATGGTCCTTATCATAAGCGGGGCTGCCACATCCCGTCAGCCTAGTTGGTCCGTGTACTTGCTTAAGTTCGTAACCCTGGGTCAAAAGAAGTCGATGTGAATGAAAATGAATAAAGCTGAAGAGGAGAAAAGAGGAGGTGGCCGAAGGCCGGCGAACTAGGTGCGCCTTATTATAGGGTGCGCGAGTTCTGCCGAGCCCGACCTCCCAAAAGCCGTCATAAATGCAGCCAGCCACGACACGAGTGTCATAACACTATTCATTGAAACAATGGTTCGAAGTAAATAAAGTTATATAATGTATGAGGGATTAATTATAAAATTGAAGTTATGAAGGGAAAATTTATGAAAAGTCTTTTACTAGAGTTTCGCCACCTGTATGATATATTCAGAAAAAAACTGCTAGTCCTAAAAAAAGACTTTTAAAAAGGTTTTGAACAAAAGGGTGAATGCGGGTTAGGAATTTAATTATTACGGCGCCGGCATGATTTGGAAAAAAAAAAAACCGGGTGGTAATTACCGTTTCTATTATATTTATTAAGCTTTGAGAAGTATTATAAAAATAAATTACTACTCTTTACATCTTAATAACGAAAATCCTGAAATTATGACCAAAGCGAAGTGATTTACTCAAATACACGTAATATTATGTATATTATCTTATCACGCCAAATTATTTATATAGTCTACCCAATTGGTAATCGGGGCTGCTTTCTTTCTTAATCTAAGGGGCATACCGTGTTGTTGAATATTGGATGAACATCCTCAGCTCTCCATTTCCAACCGTAACCCTA